AAATTGAACTGAATTTTTACAAGACATTCTCATTACTCAGCATGCTTCAGTGATTGTGCTGAGCAGCAGAAGATGCCATCCATCTACATTCCTGCATAACAATATGCTTCTTTCCAGGTGAAAGTGGTGTTGCTGGGTCTCCAGGACCAAAAGGTGATACTGGGCTCAACGGTAAACCTGGAGAGCCAGGAGCTGTTGGTCAGATTGGTGGGTTTTAGTCAGATTATTTGTGGAATAATGTACTTTTTATTTTTAAACCTGTACTTGATATAATTTTTTGAACAAAAAAAACAATAATGATAATAATAAAATAAAATACTAAGAGGGATATTTACTAAACCTGCCACAAATTACCGTCAGGCACAGGAAATATTGCAGAACCCCAGTTTTTTAATTTAGTGGCATATTTACCAAGACTAATGATGTAAATGAGTAGCTGTGTTAATATGAACACACTTCAGCTAGTAAGGATGTGTCTGTACTGCCCAGGGGTGGACCGAGAGGGACAGCAGAAGAAAGTGGGTTTACTGCAAATGAACTTTCATAAGGTTGAGAAAATCTACGTCAGCAACATATTTTGGAGCTGCAATCATGCAGTCTGCCAGTCAGTTTGTCTTACATTTTTAAGGCTAGTAGGTTAAGTGAAGCATGGTGAACCTGAAAATACACTTAGGTGAACCTGAAAGCCTGTAAAGTCCCTCACGCTCAATCATGTTCTTAATTCTGATGAGGTCTCAGATGACTAATCGCTGCCCTGCTGAGTTTGACATATGCTTTGTCATGACATTGTAGCCACAGGTCCCTCTGTTACAGTGGTGGTAAATCAGGTACCAAGGATTTTGGATACATTTACATTCTCTCCTCCCTTATTTTTGCATCCCTGAATGGGAATGTCTGCAAAATACATGACTGCATGAGACCAAACCTAGAAATTCCTGCGGTGATACTTTTCTTCTGCTCCTTCCAGCTGCAAAACGGCAATATCTTAACAAAGGCAGTTTCACTGTTTAGTGCCAAAAAATGAACCCTAGATCCTTAGTAAATATCCATTTCAGGGGTTAAATCACAAAATGGGGCTGCAAAATAAAGAGTGTCCTATCCACATTAACTCAAATGCTAATGGGGACGTCCTTGCTGAGAGCTGACAGACTGAATGAAAAACAAACTGTGCCATCCGGACAAAGCTGGGCCCACAGATTAATGAACTTTTGGGCAAAGCATGGCACCTTTATTTTGTATTATATGTTATGTTGCATTATATGCCAGCTCCCAACTCAAACCTGTTTCAATGTTGTAGGCCCACCTGGACCCCCTGGACCAGCTGGTAAGCCTCCATTACATGTGTGAGAATCCTGCATATATGTTCCTCATATTGTGTGTGCGGCATACATACTGACTCACAGAAATACCAACTGATACTACATTTGCTAAAACAGAATCATGACCTTTGCTGATATCACATGTTGCAGGTCTAGTGAAACAGGAACATAAAGTGATTAAACTCTTTCTAGAAGGAAACATGTATCAGCAGATTGCAAATATGAAAGTTCACTTTCTCTTCCTCGTTACACTTTTGTTCATCACCTGTCATATTGCTGACATGCTGCTATTTTCTATGAAAAATGAAACTGTTTGCACAGCTTGCATTAATGAAATATAAATGTGTCCCACCCCAGAAAAAGTTGCTTGGTTGTTTGTAATCCTCACTCTGAACTCTGACTTTGTGTGTGTCTGTGTGTGAATACAGGACCCAGCGGTCACCCTGGGATCCCAGGAGCCCCTGGGAATCAAGGACCAGGTTCAAAGGGAGAGAAAGGAGAACCTGGGGCCCTAGGTAAAGATTTGGACATCAGATGAAGACTTCATGACACTACTATGAAGTCTGACCTGTTAACACAAAATCAAAACACTCTGTGTCACATTTCTTAAAGAAATAGTAAATGGAGAAAGAGAAGCCAAGTGAAGATGCTGTAGCCAGGTTTATGATCAACACGATGAACATACAAGGTGTCCTGTAAGTCAACCAAAGCCAGGATAACAGGACTGGGACTGTGACATCCTGAAAGACATTTGTTATTTCATATATTCGTTTCCTTGCCTCTGAGTCGGTGTGGTAGGTCTCCCCCTTTAAAGAGCTGCTAACACAGATCTCACTTTATGTCGTGAAGAATTACATTTGAACTAGTTGCAAACAAAAATGTTTTACTTATGGAAGCTGTGCCCTGTGCTTTGCAGGCCTTCGTGGAGAAAAAGGTTCCACGGGGACACCTGGTGAAAAAGGTACCTAAAAATGTTGCATGCTGTGTATGTGAATGTGTATACCTGTATGGGTGTTTGTGTGTGTCTGTAGCAGTGTCCTAGTTTGTGAGATACCTAATGTATCTTTGTTAATTTGTTGTGCACCTCCAGGATCTTCTGGGGTCCGAGGTCCTCCTGGGTTACAAGGACTAAAAGGAGACCCTGGACGTTCTGGTCCATCAGGACCTCCAGGTCAGCTGCATGCTTACATCTGTATGGTTGGGCTAATACATGTATCCCAGTACAGAAGCCCAATATTTCACCTTTATTAAATATCTTACAGTATATCAACTAGTCATGTAATGATAAATAACATTAATCATTTTTGCATGTATTTGTTTTATATGCACATTTCATTCATTTTCATTTTCATCATTCA